CATGCTTACAGTAATTCACACAAAGCAAAGAATTGGGTTTTCCAGTAAATTCAAACAATTTTTCTTTTTTAGGTGCAGAAAGAATAACAAAAACCACTCAGGTCAAAATTAAGGTATCTGGAATTGAATCATTTACTTTCCTTGGGTGCCTCCTGCTGATTAGCACTGCTGGCTCAGAGCAGCACCATGCCTTCTTTAACTCCCTCCTATGGTAATCCTCCACAAGGAGCCAGCTGGCACAGCTGAGGCAAGGCTGAATTGGTCAGTAAGACTGTAGTAGAGACTGGGGCAGAATGAACCAGGGAAAGAACACAGAGGATGGCATGAACGTAGATGACGTAGATTAACTTTGAAAATGCAACTTGCTCTCTAGGCTCACAGAACTGTAGTCTGTGGGAGGATCCTCATTTGTACTGTCCACTGTTGTATCATCAACCAGTATAGTGCCTGGCTCAAAAGACGCATCCAACAAGTAGATGTCGAAAGAGTTAATGAATGAACACATCTGCATGGAACTCTCAGGATTTTACCTAGTTGATTCCTTTCTAGTTTGCAGCTTTTCCCACAAAACAGTGGATGTCTCCTAATATCTACCACCTGAAATTCCATTTTATTTTGTCCCCCCAAGCCTAGATGAGAAGAGGCAGACCCCTTTTCTGCCAACGAGTCAGTGTTTCCCAACCTTGTAAAACACATGCCATCTTTTGATAAACATAAACCTCAGACTTCTGCCCTGGAGACTCAGTTGGTAATCACCACTTGTTTACAGGCTCTGCTGTGTTACACAAATGTCCTTCTTTTACTATACCCACAGGTGCTGAGACACCCTCTTGCAGAAGGCACAATTCTCTCCACACTGTTCTCCAGCAGAGAATACCTACACCAATCTAAATCTAGCTTAGTGTCCTGTTTTAGGGATTTCTTTCCTGAGTGACCAACACTGGAAAGTGCCTTCACTTTTCAGAAAGCTCCCCCCCTCTCGCCAGCTATTAATGGAGGTACAGATCTATACTTACATGTCTCTACTAGAATAATGATATCATGATACCCCCAGGAGATATGTGTACACTTATACACTTACAGTGTCAGGGGTACTATTTCCCAACAGCCAATCATTGTGATTCAAACTGACGATCCAACCAATATTTGGCAACAGGTCTTGAAAATTCCAGTCCATGTTTTATTGACTCCTCCGTGCTGCCTTCCTGTACCCCTCCCCTTATTTTTCAAGCTCCAAGCACGGCCTCCATTCTGATGAATACTCCACATTTACAGATAGAAAATAAAGCTGAGCATAGTGGCCCTGCTCATACCTTGTCTATTCTAGAGACCATGAATGGTTTCTTGACAAAGGCAATACGAGCATCTGTGTTCAGAGCAAGAAACTCCTGTACCTCCTCACTGTTAGCGATTTCAGGAATGGCACAGAGTTGCTGCAAAAGTAAAACATAGGAAGAATTTTAAAGATAAATTCCAGTCCCCAGATCCTTCCACCTTGGCATAAATGTCTGGGGGTTAAAATGAGAGCAAGGCCCAAATAGAAGGATGCTGACCTTTAGGAATGATTCCAGGAGGCTCTTACGGGCTTCTACTCTGTCACTATCCATGTTTCCAAATGGAAGGTCTGGGAAGAGTTTTTTAGGACCCTTCACATCTTCCCAAAAAAAAAAAAAAAAAAAAAAAAATTCATTTAAAATTCTCTGAGCTNAGAGAGTGAAGCCTTCACCTCCTCTCCTTCCCTGCCCTACCTTGGGTAACTAGGGAGTATCATTTGCCATGGCAGAAAATAAAACAGAGGGAATATATCTGGGAAAAAAGATGAATTCCATTTTGAATATGTTGTATTTCAGTTGCCCTATGGTGGATCCAAGTGGAGATATACAATATCTAATGTTTAGGCCTCATCAGCACAGGTGTCAGAGTTGAAGCCAACCATCCCTGGAAATCACCCAGAGTAAAAACAGGGAGCCAAAATCAACCTGTGGAAGATGGACAAGGAAGCCAACACAGTGGACTGAGAAGGGACCACAAGAGAGGCAGAAAGAGAATCAGGAAAGTGGCGTCACACCCTAGGGAAGAAAGTTTCTAGCAAAAGGCAGCAGTCTAAATACCAAAGCATGCCAAAAATAACTTCAATAAGATACTGATATTATAAGCACGGGTCTGCCGGATTGGAACTCCCTGCGTTCGCGCCCTGTTCTGTTGCTCGACTCAGCTGTGGGGACTGTGTCCCACTCATCTTTGTACCTCACCCTCTGTACACAAGCTCCAACTGAAGCTCAACACGTGGCTTGCTCAGCTGAACAGAACAGAA